CACATGGGATTTCTCAGTGCCCTATCTTTACATCTGCAACCTTCAGCACAGAGGTAGACAGACAGACCTTGGGGTTTTGAAACACTAAGGCAATGAGGCTTGTCTTAAAAAAAAAAAAAAAAAAAAAACCAACAAAAAAAAACCCAGGAAAAAAAAAAAACAGGAAAAAAAAGTTGTTCTGAAGGAGAATGGGAGTAAGTGGGGTGGATCCAAGAGAGATTCCACCGTAGAGAAGAACTGAAGCGTGCTCTTGATTCCTTCTTAGCAGGGTTCCCCACCCTTTTTTTTTAAACCCCAATATGCAGGAGGACTTTTTGAAGACTGCCTGCACACCTTTCCACTTCCTTCCTTGAGTGGCGAAATACCCTCTTTGCAGGAAGTTTAATGACTATGAAGGAACTCAATTTGAATTCTTTGCCCTGGCTCAGCTGTGCACATTTGTTCCAGTGCAGTTTGCTCACAAATCCTTTGGAAATATATTCTTTCACACACACAAAATGTGTGTGCATATTTGGAAATACATGATCTATCACGCACCCCGCTCTGCCCGACCCAGACACACAGCTGAAACACACTGATTGCTTGGGCAAAGCAGAGGCTTCCCGGGTCTTTCCATGAGTGTATTTCATTACGGAAAAAACACGATATAAACCTCTTTTTGTTATTCTTCATTTGCTTGTCCAAAGTATAATGCAGTTGACTCCAGCTGCTTCGGCCAGTAACAGCAGAATCACACACTTCGGCCCAGTAGTGCCCGTGACGGGTACTGCCAAACACCACCCAGACAAAAACACCACACTGATGAGGTCACACATACCATATGCTGAGCTTTAATGCTTCACATCCCCAGCTATGGTCCTTCAAGTAAACTACAATGCTTAAACACATTAAGGCATGATCAGCTTTGCTGCTGCTGAACTTGCTACATGAATCATAATGAATAGACACATAGCTGTCGCAGAATAGTACAAGTACCTTATTACAGAAAACCATTTCAGTTCTAATTATTTGATTTAGGTCACACTCGTAATTGTGTAGGCTTACTGTCGTTTTGCTTAATTAATAACAAATATATTTGAAAGTGTGTTCATTTTCAATCTACAGCAAGAGGCACTATAAAACCTACCACATCTGTCAATTTTTACTTAATCACAAAATATACATGATATACTGCAAATGCAAAGTAGAAAAATATTAAGGACCTGACTTATGCATCACATTTCAAGACTAAGTTTCCTACGGATACTAGCTTGACACAGAAAATGCATGTTGTAAATTTTATGTCTATTGCTTCCTGCAAAGGAACATGATTTTCATTTCATTGCTAATCAAAGTACCATGGCAAATGTTCCTATCTGCTTTCTCCTCAAGATCCCCTTGTCACCACCATAAAAAAACCGACATGACTAAATGGTCTGACCATCCCAGATTAATGAATGAGTCATTTGCAGTCACACACAAGTTTCACGTAGACAATAATACCGTTTGTATCCTCTATGAAGCAACAGAGGTAAAAGCCACCAGAAACAAGTTGCAGGTTGGTGTTTAAGGCACCACATATAGAGAAGCCAAGGAATTTTTATGGAGAAGGGCAGGATTCAAAGCAGTACACACGTAAGGGAAAAGAAAACTCACGTAACACATTTAGCTGTACAGAACAAATTCACTGACAAGTGTAATACTTCCTACAGAAAACCCTGTGAAGATAGGAAAAAATGGAGAAAGGCTAGTATAGCGCAGCTGCATACCCTACTTTTAATAACGATATTAATCTAGTTCTTACGAAGGTTGTTGACTCTCTTAACAATTGAAATATGTTTATTTATGCAAAGAGCAGACATGGCATGGGAATCCATGCTTCACAATTCCCCAGCGAATCCTGCCAAAGTCTCTTTACTCTTGTTCTGGAAGAACCACTTCTGGTAACGACACTAATTTAGTTCTTTGCCTACTCAAACTTTCTTTTTCCTGCCAAGACTAGAAGGATGCCAAGTGTGCTGTTTTCTTTGCCTAGAGCAGTTGTCACCTTTAAAACGGACAGCACCACCTTATTCATGAAGCCCTTTAGCCCAATAGTTCTGTTAAAGAGCACTGTGTTTTTTGATCAGAACCAATCTGAGCAGAATTTATGCCAAATGCTCGTCTGCTGCCCATTACTAGTATAACGAGTATATGCAACGATGGGAAAAATTACTCAGTAGTTAAGAATTGTATCTGAAGTGAAACGGACTCTTCCCACACAGATTCAAACTTTTGTTTGTTTTGGCAGAAAGGTACTGGAATTTGAGGCACTAACAGCAAAATGCAATAAAAAAAGTGTTTAGATCACCATAGTCTCTAAGGACTTCATATTGAAAATGTACAGCCATGAGAGCTTCAACCAAAAACTAAACATATTTAAGAAGACTCAAAGTTAACTCATCTCTGCAAAGAATGGTTCCTCAGTTCTGTAACCTCCTCAAAAGCAGGTTAACGGTATTCCAAACCAAACAAGGGAGCAAAAAGGCCATTTTTTTCTTATTAGAAACGGGTATTTTCACAGGAAGGTTACTCGATTTCTCTAGGACCTGTTTTCATGGCAAAGGCGGCCTTCCAGAAAAAAGGTACAAGTAAAAACTACCTTACATTAATTAAGTGACTGAAAGCTAGGAATGTGATTTCCAGCATTAACAAAAAATAACAAGTAAAACAAATGAATTGAGATAATCCTGCCACTTCAGGTATCTTTCAGGAGAAAATAGGCTCATAATAATAATTATAATATTTAATAATATTTCTGTCTAACATACTGCTGGTACATAATTCAGTTAGCATATTCTAAAAAATAGCTTCTGTTTTCTTAAAGACATTATCATTCACTGAAGTTCTAATCCATACAATTAACTTGTAAAACTTGGCAATGAGACATTGCTAGCCCTGCAAAGAGACATGCCTAGGAAAGTAATTTCCAAAACCTCTCACAGTTGTTCAAATAGAGAAATCTTTTATTTGATGAAAGCTCAATGTTATTTTCTGTATCTACATTCAAGATCTGAGCAACATCCAGTGAAGATGCAAATTCTGGATGCCTTAGTACTTAAAAGGGATCTCTGTCAGCAGCCTTCTTGTAATGTTAAAACAGACAATTTAGGTGTCTCCAGTCACCAAACCACTTGTGATTGATACAGATCAGTAGCCTCCATCTCAGGCTTTAATAGGCAGCAGTTCGCTCCATGAGAGCAAACTTGACCTCTCACAGAGAGCTGCCCTCTACATGTCAAAAAAGGAGGCCAAGAGTTAGGGAGAGCAAGCTTGTATCTCAGAACTATTTTTCACAAGCTACTGCTTTGTATCAGTTTTTGGTCAACGCCTCTTCTAAAACTGAAGTTGCTAATGCTGTTAATTACTGTATTATCTACCAAGGTATTCTAAAATAGCCAGCTGTTCATATGACACATTTTCAAAAATGGCACCTTCAATCTGTACGCACCTTCCCAAATTAAAGTGCTTCTGTGTCTAATACTGTATCAGCAAATACTCCCTGATGTGAAGGACCTAGAACGCATACAGCATCGCTATGTTACTGCCTGCCAGGCCTGGCAATAGGATTGTTTTACAAAAGGCAGTCCTTCCATATATTTAATTTGTTTTGCTCAGCTCATCTTGTAAGAAATGGTCCCCTGCCAAAAGGAGATTGATTACTGTTACTGGAATGGACGTTATCAGGGACATGATCTCGACAGATCTCAGGGAAAGGACAGACACGAGCACAAGTACTTGCTTTGTAAAATGAATCTGGAAGATTGCGGCTGGACTCTGAGGGTGAATTTACACTTCACGGCTCAGCTGATTTAAGAGGTCGCTGCTGCCAAAGGAGGATATCCCACTCGGCGTTGCGTCATCCTGACCCCCTCCCTAGAGGAAGCCACAGCACTGGCTGCACCCTGGGCTAATCCAGCTCAGCTCACTAACAGCACAGGCTTCCCCCGCCCTGTTTTTGAAAAATCAAGGTTGTGCTGGTTTAGAAGGCTGAAGGCGCTAGCGTGGGGTCTGATAGTGGGAATTGTCTTTTGCGGCAGAGCCAAGCTGTGCGAGCAGCTCGAGTCCTAACATGTAACCTCACCCTGACGGCAAGCGTTGAGCTCGTTTGGCTTCCCCACCACAGATACACAACTCAGGCCCTTCTCTTTTTCTAGCTCTATATTTGGTATTGGGGAAAAAAAAAAAAAAAAAAGTCTTGGTGAAGGAGGAGGGAAGAAGGGGTGTCAGGACAAAATTACATAGCATTTATTCAGGGCCATCTGTTATTCCAAGTCTCAAAGTACTATTTCTGTATCACCGCAATGTACCATCCCAGCCGTAAGAAAGAATTTATGGCTATTCTAATTGCAATCAGTTCAGCACAAGTTGAAGCATCAAATGTTTTTCTATTTGTCATAGAAGAGATTTTTAGACCTTCGG